CCCTATCAAATGCCTTGGACTAATCCAAATTGATCAACGCAGCTTTCGCGTCATCTGTTACACTCTCTATGATCGTACGGACTAGATACAGGTTGCTCTGAATTGTTTGGCCCTTCACAGCACATGTCTGCCCTGGTCCCAACAGACATTCGGCAACTGACTTCAAACTCTCCGTCAGGATCTTAGCCCAAACCTATTTAGCAGAGTTATGCGGCTATAATCATCTAAATCCCTCCTTTGCCCTTTTTCAACAGCGTGATCACGCTCCTGAAGGTCCGGTCAAGGATGGATCCCTGGTGGAAGTGGTTGTTGAACACGACAGTCAAATCTGAACACAGATATGCGACTACCCCAAGTACAATTCATAGAGCAGACCATGATGTCCCGGAGATTTGCCACTGCCGACCCTCCTCAATGGTAAACAGACTTCGCCCTCTATGATTTCCCCCTCACAGCTAGCTGCTTTAGTAGGCTCAAGCTGAGGAAAGTCGACCAAATAGATGCGAAACTCTTCGTCACAAAGGACAGGCTCCTTGGTAAACAGGCTTTCGAAATACTGCCGAAACGCCTCGCTCATGCCGTAAGACGACCTCTGAGTACGCCCCTCGGGGTGTCTTGACCTCCTGAATCTATTGATTGGAACCTCGATAGATCAGTTCCTTGCGTAATTCTGCGTCCATGTTCACAGCTTTGGAAGACATCTTGTTTAACTTATGCCTAATTACCTGGCCCTGGTAGCGCTTGCTAGCCGCATGCTGTAGAGACTCCCTAGCTCGGACTATCTCTAGAGGATCACCGCAGCCTCCCTCTCTTCTTGAGAGCCTTCATTTTTGTTAAGTGTCTTCACTTTATTAGCCTTATCTAGTGCGAGCCGCTTGCTATATTCGTTGGTGAAGGGCTTAATCCTACCTTTGAGCCTCTCCAACCACCTATTCCCAATAGTTGCCCTACTAGTTCACGCTTCATTAAAGTAGTTAGCTGTTGCCGGAAATCCCGCTTGTCCTGTAAAGACAAATTGAACTTGCACTATCCAGCCTAGGGCAAGAGTCTAACGCCACCCGGGTACAGACTAGTCTGTGGTCCGAATAGCCTAACCAGTCGAACGTGGGACAATCTAGCATATCTATGTCGGTCCTTCTGACTAGCATTCTATGCATGTAGCTACTTAGCTAACTGGGTAGACGGCCACTTAAGTGCCCACGTCCACATATTCCCCCAGGGTGATCGACCCGGTATCTGTTGACTCGTCGATCAGATCCACCAAGCTACGATCGTTCAACCTTCCGCTAGCTCCCAACTTCCTGTCTATTTTTGGGTTCAGGATGGGATTGTAACCCCCATTAAGACTAGACGCGTCGAAAGTTCCTAACTGACGAAAAAAAAACCCTCTCTGTCTAGTCGTTGGGCACATAAACCGCAACAATCCAAAACGAAATACTTTTCGCAGCAATATCGGCCACGATCAACCGCCACCACACGCATCGACATAGACAAGGTCCACCATTGCATCCAGTGTACGCTTAACCAGCAAAGAAACACCTCTGACAGGTCGGTCCCCATATGCTGAATAGACAACGAAGTCGCTTTACAGCACATGAGCATCAAACTCGCAAACAAATTGCGTCTCTTCGATCGCGGTGACAACCACACCGAATGATCACGAAGCAGGCGGGCAGCCAGATCGCGCTCCGTGAAGCCCTTCGCATTCAGGTTGGCTATCTTGATAGACATTTTTTTAAATTTTCAGGAATAAAACAAACACCTTATTCACATACTGGGCATAAATACGACGGATTGTCCTAGGCTCCCTGTGCCCATCTCCGACGTCATCCGTCCGTCCAAAGCAATACCACCAACACCCATAGGATATGTTAGTTTTAAGGCCCTGTATAGACAGGGGTGAATAAGCACCTGGACCCTCTCTGCACAAAAATCTTAAAAGTTTCTTTACATCGAATGTAACCATCTGGAGAGGCTTCTTTTGCTTCATATAGGTGAGACCAATCTTTTAATTATTTCCCCGTTTCCCTAACACAGGCAATCATTCCTGGGGTTTTAGGGAAGTTGTGGAGGTCCTCTACGGACTTCACGTCGACTTTACAAATGTTCTCAACATTGGGAAAGTATTTTACTCCTTTTTTCTAGTTGGGTGGGTAGAAGTGGATAGCGGGGTAGATGTGGACGGTTGGGGTAGTCTGAAAGTGGTGGGAGACTGGACCCTAGATGGTGAAGGCGGGAAGCTCCTTGACTAGGGAAATGTGTCCTTCATTTCCCCTGGCGACGCATTAGGCAGACTGGGACCTGGCTTTGGTCATTTCCTTCTCCTTCCTGCTTCGTCCAGCACGCTTCTCTTCTTTATGGGCATCTCTTCCTCTTTGTCCTCCCTCCCATTCTTCAAAGAGAAGAACCGAGGTAGGAGCATTTCCTCCTTCTCCATATCAGAATCTGATCCCGTTTGTTGTTTCTTTGTGTTGCTGCGGGTATTGTTTCTGAAGTTGTTTCTTCCGTTGTTGTTGATGTTTTTGTTGTGTCTGTGGTTTCAGCTGTTGCTATTTTTTGGTCTTCTTGTTGCTGCTGCTGCTTTTTCTGCTTGGGCTGCTGATCATTTTCATGTTGAAGACCTCTTGGATGCCGAGGCAGCTGATGAAGCTGATTTTAGGCTCGGGGCTCTCCTGGGTTTGTTGTTGATTCTGTGAGGCCTCCTGCAGTGAGGGAGGGCTTGACGATTTAAAACCAAAAAATAAGGAAATAAACTGAAGAAAAATAAAAATGGTTTATAAAAAGTGGGAAAAAAAAAGAAAAACAAGTCTACAAAACCAAAAAAGAAAACAGAAAAATGCAAAATTTAAAAACGTTTCACTTTTTTTAAGCATTTCGCCCCAACCACGCAAGGGTTTACAGAAAGTGAGAGTTTTGGTTTTTGAGGAAAGGATTACCTATCAAGGAAACAAGTAAGAGGAAGGAGTTCCGCTATCCGAGAGAAGAACTGTTAGAGTAGAAGAGGCGGTTAATTTAATTCAGTAAAAAGGGCAGGGCCGAGATTTAACATAAATTCATCAGATTACCAGTGAAAGAACAGGATCATGAAAATATTTGTAGAAAAGACAGATAACGTTTTAAATTTTTAGTCGAGATACTAGGTCAGGACCTATCATTGCATATCCGTCTTTGGATTTTGACGAGAACCCGAGATGAATATCAGGGACCAGAAGTCGTTTCAATGCAAACGATTGGTAGATTTGAAGGAGGGACAAGAAAATCCTTCTGGCGCGACACAGAGAACCAACTTTTTTAGATGCAGCTATTGATTTACTGACCTCAGGTCAGTGGAAAACAAAAATGCGAAATTCTCGTCAGGCGAACTTAGGCTGGACTAGAAAGAATCCACGGGCACCTTTAGAAACAGGAAGATATTCCAAAGGAAGATGAAAGATTCAAGGTAAGATGCAAATTCACTTTTTTTACTGTCCTTATCTTATCATTCAATATTGGAATAATGCTTTCTATTCTGACATACATCTCTTTTAATAATGAACCAAAATATTTTTTAAAGGAAATACTGGGGGGGATATTCAGTTGATTTGAAGTCTTTGAAACAGTGGCACTGGGAAGAAACAGGCTTAACTGTACATTCTCTAGCTTAAATGTTCTTGGCTGTGATCCGTCTCTCAGAAAAGAAACTTCTAGTCCAGTAACTTAGAATAATTCTATACATTTATTAACATCAATTGTGACAGGATCTATAATTTAAATTTTACAATATAACCTCAGAACATTTTTCCAAGTATTCCGGTCGTTTCCAAAAATGTGTAAGTCGATGAAGGGCGCAAATTTTAGTACAGTTACTGATCGAGCCAGTGTAGCTAGAAGTTCATCACTGTGGAGAAGTCAGTGTAGCTGTAAATTCCTCATTATAGTCGAGCCTGCGTAGCTGTAGATTTGTCAATATGGTCGAGTCAGCGTAGCTATAAATTCGCCATTCTAGTCGAGCCAGCGTAGATGTAAATTCGTTATTTTGGTTGAGCCAGCATAGTTGTAAATTAGTCACTCTGTTCGAGCCAGTGTAGCTGTAAATTTGTCACTCTGTTCGAGCCAGTGTAGCTGTAAATTCGTTACTCTGGTGAAGCCAGTGTAGCTGTAAATTCGTTACTCTGGTGAAGCCAGTGTAGCTGTAAATTTGTCACTCTGTTCGAGCCAGTGTAGCTGTAAATTCGTTACTCTGGTGAAGCTGCTGAAAATTCCTGGTGAAGCCAGTGTAGCTGTAAATTTGTTACTCTGTTCGAGCCAGTGTAGCTGTAATTCGCGTTCTGGTGAAGCCAGTGTAGCTGTAAATTCGTTACTCTGGTGAAGCCAGTGTAGATGTAAATTCGTTACTCTGGTGAAGCCAGTGTAGCTGTAAATTCGTTACTCTGGTGAAGCCAGTGTAGCTGTAAATTTGTCAATCTAGTTGAGCCAGCGTAGCTGTAAATTCCTTAGTTCGGTCAAAAGTAGCGTAGCTGTAAATTCGTTATTCTTGTCAAGCCAGTGTAGCTGTAAATTCCTCATTCCGGTCGAACTATTGTAGCTGTAAAATCGTCATCCTGGTGGGGCCAGTTTAACTGTAAACTCGTTACTCTGGTGGAGCCAGTGTAGCTGTAAATTCGTCACTCTGGTCGAGCCAGCTTAGCTGTAAATTCGTCACTCTGGTCGAGCCATTGTAACTGTAAATTCGTCACTGAAAATTAGCGTTGAGAAATCAATTTCCATATTTTTTATTCGTCTAACATGTTTTTCTTTGTGATGTTTGCTTAAAGATAATTCTAGTTATTTTAATATCTTTTGTCTGTGTTATTAATATCCTACATATTTCCTATGCTTACAGATGCAACAAAAGCTTCTCCAAATTTTCTGTAGCTGACAATTTATTTATATTTCTTGCCCTGTTAATTTTTCTCAACGAGCGCTCACCCTCTCTTTCTCTCTCTCTCTCTCTCTCTCTCTCTCTCTCTCTCTCTCTCTCCTGGCGACCATATCACGTTGAAACAATGGTTCTCGTACGTTCACTGAAGTTAAACAACGTCGAACCTGGTCAGTACTTAGATGGGTAAAACGCTTGAGAATACTAGGCGCTGTAAGATTGGATGTACGTGAGGTGTAATGGGATAATGACTCGAAATTGTTCATCTGAGTTCGAAATCCAGTCGGGTTCATTATATTCACTTACGCCCAAATACCTTTAAGAAAGGTATGAATTTACCTCTTCTTCCCCCAGCTATGGGTTAATTAGTAAGACCTGTTTCACAAAATCATTATCTCCCCTCCAAAAATTTTTAGCCTTAAAATATTTTTGTTTCTCCTTAATCTACTAAGTGTTGATAAATCGTAGAAAAGGAAGAAATCGGCTTCTCTCTTTTTAATTGCCCTTCTTACCGCTCACACAACAACCTGCACCAGCAATCGTCTAAATTTAGTAGCTCTTTCGACTATATTATCTCTATTCAATCTCGGTTTTCAAAGTTGTATTCACACCACTCAACGTTACACGCTGTAAGTAAAAGGAAATTAATGCTCAGAATTGAATTTCTCCACTACCTGAAACAAAAGCTTAGGAAGGAAACTTTTATTATTTTTATTGCTATATTCACGGCGTTTCAGCCGTTGTACACGACGGCCATTTTTTTCCCTCTGCTATGGCCAGTTATCGAACTCACAATATCAGACCACAGCAGAGGAAAAAAACAGTAGTTTATTTACTAAATGGAATCAACTGTGAAATATTCCCAAAAGCCATGGTACGAGGAATTATGACAATCTACACTCGAGGACTAAGTAAAGGGTTCAATTCGAAATTCCATCGTTTATGATCTGAAGAAAACCGAAACATACAGTGGCCGAGACGTCGTGAATATGTCAATAAACATTAGGACAAGTCGGAATTATGTAAATTGTGTATATATATATATATATATATATATATATATATGGAGAAATATATGATTGGTGTATACGCAATAAATTCCAATAACCAACAATTACTATTCTTAAAAGAGTGCTCAATATAGAGTAGAGCGAATATAATTATTTATTTAAAAATTATAACATAAATATGTTATAAAATCACTAAAATCACATATTTATGTTATAATTATTAAATAAATAAATTTAGATATATATATATATATATATATATATATATATATATTTCAGTCGGGTTTCGATCCTAGCTAGAGGCAACCGGATGTCTAGTCACACTGATGAGCTGTAAACAGCGAAACAGTCTGTCTGTGGATGACGTTATATATATATATATATATATATATATATATTTTAAAAAAAAACAGACCACTTTAAGGTACCATTATAATAATTTATTTCACCAGAGTTCTTTTAAAGGACGCCGGATCATCAGATTGGGATTATCCATACGCATTACCAAGTTCTTCATAAATTATATATATATATATATTATTTTATATGCGCAGTAATTGTAGGAAAGTGCTCAATATCAGTGATAGAGTTGAGATATTCAGTTGTATCAATATGAGTTTGTGACCCTGGGTTTCACGGTTTTGCGATCATCAGACAAACTCGTTTATTTTTTAAAAAAAAACCAGTTTGTCTGATAATCACAAAAGCGTTAAAACCAGGGTCACAAACTCATATCTATACAACTGAAATATATATATATCTATATATATCTATCTATATATATATATATATATATATATATATATATATATATATATATATATATATATATATATATATAAACAAACGGAAAGCCCTTAGCAGGAACAGTTTTATCAAATTACTAAGGATTTTATTGTGAAAATAAAAGTAAAAAATGTTAGTTTTTCAAAAAGAATCAGATAAATGTTCATCAGCTTAAATAACGATTTCCTTTCATCTTAATTCGTATTATATATATATATATATATATATATATATATATATATATATATTGTGTGTGTGTGTGTATTTAGGCAGCATTTTGTCATTAATGCATGTTTCATTAAATGATATAGACAAGTTTTGTCTATTTTAAGTAAATTCCTTTCATATTGTCGAATAAGCTTTTTAGCATTATCACTGAAGTAAAATATCGCATTGCGGTTCATGACGTCACACATGACCACGTGGGAGTGAAAATGAAGAAAAGTGTTCAGTATGGAAAGCCGTTGGTCATGTGTGAAGTGATGAACTGCAATTCGATATTTTGCTTCCTTTGCATAGCAATCTTCCATGCAAACGAAACAAACTATCATTGTTGCAATGTCCACATTACCATCTTTTTATATAATTTATTATTCAGTGTAATATAATGTACTTGTAATCTCTGATGATGGCTTATGTATGCTGAAAGCTTAGACAGGATTAACAATAAAAGCATATATCAACATAGTGATTTTCTTTCGTGTTTCAGTGATAATGCTAAAAAGCTTATTCGATAATATGAAAGGAATTTACTTAAAATGAATAGACAACACTTGTCTATATTATTTAATGAAACATGCATTAACATATATATATATATATATATATATATATATATATATATATTACTTATTTCTTAAATTTTTCACATATATATGACTTTATCGCAAATTATTCAGGAATATATTTCGAGTAAATTAGTATCATTCATTTATATTGAATCTCTGAACTTGGTTTATTTAAGCATAAATCAAGCCGTTTTTTGTGATCATGTTATAGAAAAAAAGCCAGCCAACAGACAAGAAATACAGAGGTGAGCATTGGTAGCAAGAGTGACAACGTATTAGGCCGCGCGATTTGGTTGCAGATAGATGTTTGAATATGACAGAATCAGTAAAAATGTGGTCCTTGTCATCGAACAGAATCAATTTCTTTTTCATTTTCCAAGAAACAAACGTTCAGATTCGTCATTCAAACTCGCAGTGATCTCACTACAATGTTACATAAGAATAAGTGACGGTTCTATCATAATAAAACGTTAATATGATAATAATAACCTTCGTTTATTTACTTACTTTTTTTCTTTTTTTTTCTTTCTCTTTTTTCCTTTTTTTTATTTATTTTCGCTGTTTTTTAATTAGTTTTTAATTTTTATCATTTTTTCTCTTCATTCTCTTTTGTTTTTTTTTATCTTTTGCTCTTTTTACGTCTCTTTTCTTTTTTTCCTGTTTTCTCTTTTTTATTTTTCTCCTCCTTTTTCTTTTATCTTTTCCTTTTCTTCTTTTTTCTCATCTCCTTTTTTCACACCTTTTTTTTCTCCTGTCTTTAACCTACCATACTTTCCATCAGTACTCCCTGTACCGTCCACACGCCTCTTTCTGGTGTTGTTTAAATATGTCGGCATAATGATTTTCATTGCGCATATATTAGGAATCATATTGTTTTAATAGTGGGTAATGGAACTTATACTAAGTTAAAACATAATTATTTTATTCTATTCTCCCACATTACTAACTGATTGATTTATGCTTAAAGATTGGGGGACTCCTTTTATATATATATTTATATATATATATATATATATATATATATATATATATATATATATATATGGTAAGTATTCCGCAATCTGAATGTCGCCGACTAAACAGACTACACCTCTCTCCAAGATATTGCGAGTGAAGTGGCTTGTTAGGGATCCAGTAGGACGAAATAACAAGACCTAACAAAGAGCGTAAGAACTCTCTATAAGTCAACGGCCAGCTAACTAAAGGTGTTGTTTCCATACATCTCCTTGGAGTAGGCAATGGGAAACAACTCCACTATTAATTCCAAGTAATATCATGCCAAATAACACACACAATATGAAATCTAACGACGTTAAGTGGGGTTAACTCTATAGGAATTAACTCCTCGCCCGGTATTCGACCTGATACGAAAACTCGGGTTTACAGAGCTGTTGTACTTGCCATCCTTTTGTATGGCTCAGAGTCATGGACTCCATACAGGTACCATATACGTCAGCTAGATGTTTTCCATAAAAGCTGTCTACGTGCAATCTGTGGAGTTAAGCTTCAAGATAGGACATCTAATGTAGACCTGTTTAACAGGTGTAATATTGGAGGAATCGAGACTTTTATCATTCAGTCTCAGTTACGGTGGACTGGTCATGTCTTGAGAATGTCTGATGACAGGATACCCAAGATCCTAATGTACAGCCAGTTAGATCAGGGCTACAGGAATGTAGGACGCCCATGTCTAAGATTCAATGACAAGCTGAAAAGCAACTTGTCACCAGTCAATATACCACATAATGGAGATCAACGTGTTTTAGTGGATTCAGCAGTTTTCTATCTGCTTGTCTAAATCATCTTCAAGAAGCGAGGGGATGATCTAAAAGGTCAGCCAATCTAACAGTGATCTCATCTCAGAATCTTCACACTTGCTCCATATGTGGCCTCCTTTGTAAATCACTAGCGGGTCTTAAATGCCACTTAAGATTATCGCACAAAATTTCATAACTGAATCAATAAGCTGTCAGATCCTCATACGTCGAAACCGACGGAGAGTCCATTATATATATATATATATATATATATATATATATATATATATATATATATATGTTGTTTTGTTTTTTTTGAGTGTAACAATTGAGGGGAAATGTGCAAAATAACGATAGCACACCCTGTACCGTGTTAACATGTACCCGTTGACTCGTACTGATATCGCTATCGAAGAGGGTTCGTATATATAATACGCCACATATATCTTGAAGAACGCTTTGTTCATTTTTAGAAATTCATTTTAAACTTTAAAAATTGTAACTTACAAAAAGAGGCGGTCTGTCAATCATTATTCAAACCTTTCAAAGTTTGCACAGAAAATATTGAGCTTTGGGAACTTTTGCAGTAAACATAATTTTGGTTGTAAATATGTAACATTTATGAGGGTAATATACGTATATCTTTCCTTAGGTGTTTATAAATTGTACACCGTTCAATTATTAACGTTAACCACGAACTATTTTAGATTACAAAATTGTACTTGGTTTAAACGAAAATTACTTACAATATAATACATGTTACTTATGATACATTCCTTCTTGCCGTTAATTTTGACGGCACGGATACGTATATATATATATATATATATATATATATATATATATATATATATATATATATATATATATATATAT